CAAACCTAGAATTGAGTCATAATTTAGGCATGGGGTGAATATACACCTGGTGACTTGTACCACTTATAGGTACTAGTGGTAATAAAACACAATAATGTAACAGTAATGGTAGCAGCTACAGTAATAGTAATATCACTTGAGTGTATACTGTGTATCTGCACTTTACTAAATTCTTTTCCTACATTAACTTCCCTTGTTTCTTTTTCTTTTTCTTCCTCCTCCCTTTCTCTTCTTCCTCCTTCTCCTCCTGCTGCTTCTTCTCCTCCTTTAGCCCAGGGCCTCCCACATACTGGGCAAGTATACTACCACTGAGCTAAAACCCCAATTCCTCTTCTATTTTTAATTGTCCTTCCCCCCCAAAACAAAATCTGGAATTAAGACATGATTTACGGTGATGAATCTAGAACTGACATATTGATGTTGTTGGTGGTTGTACTAATAATAGTAATAAGTAGTAACAGTAGTAGTACCAACTATAGTGATAACATTTATATATAGTATGATGTGTATGGATGTGTATATACATATATATGCATACTATATATATATATATATATATATATAATGTGTTTGCTCTGTGCTAAATAATCTTCTTAAATAATTTTACTCAGTCCTTTTACAGGTAGAAAAATTGAGGCTCTTAAACTGTTGACATGGGCAGGACTGGGGGCTTGACTTTCCCAAATCTGTGTGCCTCTGAGCCCTGTGTTCTTCACCTTTACATTACGGCAGACATGAAATTCTCATCTGCCTTCCTGGCCCACATGAAATTCTGAGAATGAATCTCTTTCTTTAAACTTATGACCTAAAAATAGAAGCAACTGACTGCTGGGCATCTCCACTCTAACAGAGCAACACCTCAAACACACAATATCTAAAATGAAGTTTGCAAACTCATTACCTATTCCTGTCCTGCAGCTACTGCTCTACCCTGTCCCTTGGCTTGGAAACATTGCTTACTTATTTGTGCTAACCTGGAATCTATCATCCCTGAGTGTTCCTTCTTTTCCTGTGTATACTTCTGCGTTTACATTTCACTCTTCTCAATCCCTATTTCTGCTGCTGTCCTAGTTGGAGTCTTGTGCAGCTTACCAGGATCTCTACAGACACACTTTGACTGCTCTCCTGGCCCCAGCCTCACCTCCCTAAACAGTAGATAGCAGTGTGTACCCTCGCCCACTTGTACACCCTGTATAGCTGTACTTTGTCTCCCACGTGAATTCACATCTGTTCAATTTGAAGTCCTACTTTAGAAGTTACCTGTTTGGGGAGCTCTTCTGACTCCCACATGTCCTAATCAGAAGATGACTTTTCTCCTCTTCATAGCCCTTGGCAGCCCTATGCAATTATAAGGCTTATTTGTATTCACTGCCACTTAATGGGTGATTAAAAATTGTGAATTGTATCAGTATGATTTTGAACCCAAAAAGTATTGAATTAGTATTCAAAAAACCTGGTGCTTAGTTCTGTTTTTCAGTATTATCTAACCTCCTGGATCTCACCTTGTAAATATGAGAGTATTATATTAGGGCTATGGGTTTGAGTTGGTGGTGTCATTTAATTTTCACCTTGGAACTCCATTGCTAACCATTTTTTTTTCTGCTCCCTGTCCCTCTTTCCCAGCTTCTGGAGGTGCAGTAAGCACATTCTGAAAATGCTGGGCCACAGGATTTCTAACATGCCTACTAACTCCCATGGACTGCTGTGTCTTAATTATTCCTTTTAATTTCTTTAAAAATTTTTTTTGTAGTTGTAGACGAACAGAATGCCTTTATTTTATTTGCTTATTTTTATGTGGTGCTAAGGATCGAATCCAGTGCCTCACACATGCGAGGCAAGTGCTCTGCCATTGAGCTATAGCCCCAGCCCCTAATTTTTTTTCTTAAAGATACTCTTCTAGTCTATATTGTTGTGTATCAGAAGCTTTAAGTGACCTTTAAGTTTGGTGAATTTCAAACTTGAAAAGTGAGTTAAAAAGTAAGGAGTATCTGTAATTCTGCAATGTTTGGCCATTGCCATCAAATGATTTTTAAAAAATATTTATTTTTTAGTTTTAGGTGGACACAACATTTTTATTTTATTTTTATGTGGTGCTGAGAATTGAACCCAGTGCCTCATGCATGTTAGGCAAGCGCGCTACCACTTGAGCCACATCCCCAGCTCCCATCAAATGATTTTTAAACAAATGTCCATGCTAGGCATTTTATAAAACAAATTATACAGCTATTGTCATCTTTAATCTGCATGCTTTTTGAAATCTTAATGAAACCCAGCTAGTATTCTTGCTACTGGGCAATGTGTTCTCATGTGGAGATAGTTACTCTCCATCATAGAATCTTGTGGAAACATCATTAGCTTTCTTTCTACCTTTTTCCAGCTGCAGACAAAAGGACATCCAGGAGGCTTCATTATAATCCTTATTGTAAACCTAGATAATGTAAGAAAAAAGTACTCTAGGAGTTTGTGCAATACAATAGTCATTAGCCACATGTGGCTAGTTCTGGGATGGGGAGTGTAAAGTGGTGGGAGAATGCTTGCTGAGCATGTATGAGACCCTGGATTTGATCCCCAGCACTGCAAAAAAAAAAAAAAAGTATGTATGTATGTGTATATATATATATAAAATGTATGTATGTATATATATATATATAATGTATGTGTATATATATGCTAGATTTCAAAAACAGCATTAAAAAGTGAATGATCTTATTAATAATTTTTTAACATTCATCACATGTTGAAATAATCATGTATAGGCATATTGACTTAAATAAAATATATTATTAAAATTAATTTCACTGGTTTCTTTTTACTGGTTTTATGAGAAAACATAAAATTACACATTTGGATGCCTATAATCCTGGCTACTTGGGAGTCTGAGGCAGGAGGATTGTAAATTCAAGGCTAACCTGGTCATCTTAGTTAAGACCCTGTCTCAAAATAAAAATAAAAAAGGATTGGAGACATAACTCAGTGGTATAGCACTTGTGTGAGGTCCTGAGTTCTATCCCCAGTACCTAATTACATATTTGACTTGGCGTTTATGGCTTGCATTATATTTTATTGGAGAGTGCTATATTGAGAAGTTTCAGATTCTGAAAATATTAAACCTATAAAGTATCCCACAAACTTGGTAGTGGTACCTGCCTAAGGTTCAGAGCTCTATAAAGTAGGGTTACAAATACTGTGTTATTGGATGGCATCATGTTTTACTTAATACAACAAATAGAGCTTGCTAAAATTCTTCTGTTTTCTGTGTCTATTTCAAACGCCTATGAGTTCATGTTTAGCATGAGGTCCTGAAGTTCATTTAGTTAAAAGTAGGAGGTGATGGAAGAGGGATCCCAGTTCATTCAGAGTCCCCTCTGTTTGCTATGAGGTCTTTATTAATTCAACCAGCAAAAAGGGACACCTCATGTCCCTTGACCCAAACTCCTTTGGGGAATTGAGAGTTAAAAGGGAGCAGCAGTGATATGAATAAAAATAATATAATTGTGGTTGATAATTCTTTTATTTGATTTGATAATTTTTCTTCTAATAAGTGCTTGTGACAGACCATTTTTTAGAACTTTAACAAATATTTGTGGTGCACCAGTTCTATGCAAGATACCTTTCTAGGTCTTAGGCATGCTTCAGTGAATAAAACAGAACAAATGGAGCTGACATCCTAGATCTCATACCTTAATGCAAAGTTATAATTGCAGGGATGTTACTTGGGGTTCTGCCAGGTGTCTTTTATTTAGAATGTGTTGGATTAACCTTTGACTTGCAAGATATTTTATCTCCTCTGAGAACTTTAGAATTTGCCCTCTGGGTTTCATTATGTTTATCCTTTTTTCCCAGAAAAGAGGGTGTGCATATGAGGAGGGAGGGAGGCAACAGGTCACAGTGTGTTTTACTTCATCTTTTCCTAGCCTTTGTTGAACAGGTAATTTTCTCCCACAGGAAACCTAGACATGGTAACTCTTTAACTAATTGAAAGTGATTTCACTGCTATAACTACAGTGATTTGGGGAGTTAATTTTAATTAAAATATGCATTCTTACTCTGAAAAAGTAAGTGCGTTGGTACTCAAGTATAGGGACTACCAGGTGAAAATATATAAGAAAAAATCTGCCAATTTTTTTTAAAAAAGTTAATGTTTCAGTAGCACTAAAATTACGGAGGATTATGTAGCAGTTCTTTGTTAGTATTCATCCCTTGATTCTCACGTTTTATCTCAAGGGTCAGGAGTTTATGATAAGGATATCACAGAGAATGCTTGGTTGGTTGGGGCCAGTATATACTTAACTTTGCTGATTGTGCTGTTTCCCTCTCATGATAGCTAGAGGCATTGCAGCACTTCCCTTCAAAGGAATCCACACAGTATGCATCCTTGCCTGTGTGTCATGTGACCCTTCCTGACTACATCTCCAACATGAGTGAGGAATGAATCCTTAAGCCATAGCTATTAGTATTGTATCAGCTCACTTTTATTATTAAGTTTTCCTATTCTTGAAAGGAAGTTCATACTATTAGTTGGTTGATGTATTAAATTTCTTAAAACCAGAGTCATTTTGGTTTATTAAGGAATTTTCTCTTAAATTTACCTTTACCCTCAATAAGTTTCATTTCTTCTAAAGGGAAGTTATTTCTTTTGATTTCATTCAGTTTTTTTGTTTTATTTCCTTTTCTAAGGAGAATTTATTTCTTCTTTCTTTTTCTTTAGTCTCTATGTTGCCTACTCTGGCCTCAAACTCCTAGGCTTAAGTGATGCTCGCACCCCAGCCTCCCAAGTGGCTGGGACTATAGACATGTGCCCTTGACCCTGGCCAGGAGAAGTTATTTCTAATGCTGTCTTATAACTTTTACAATTCCATGTGAAGAGAAAATCTTGTGTATCATTTAATCTGATTGAACTTATTAAAATCTGTGAACAAGAACTTCAGTTGCTGAATAAATTTAGACATGTTTAATATCTTCTTGCATTTTTACACTAATATTGCAATATGTTTTTTCAGGTTTTCAATTCAAAAACAGCTGAACTACTTAGTCATCATCAAGTAGAAATAAAACAGGAGTTCCCAAGAGAAGGGTATGTTTCCTAATTTGATTTGTGAAGACAAATTGTGTTTATTGGTTCATTTTACCCTTCCCTGTAGATTTGTAAAGTAACCTTCCCCAGGCACCCTCCTGAGAAGACTTGAGGGATTGGTATTAGTCAAGAAAAAAAGTAATAACTTTAGGTCAGTAAAAAACATGTGGGTAATTCGTGGTTTATGAAATCAGTGACACAAAAGGAATGAATAATAAAATAATAAGACAAAAGTTTGTGTGTGTGTGTGTGTGTGTGTATGTATGTGTTGGGGGGCAGTGGTGATGAGGGCAGGGAGAGAAACTGAACAAGATATAACCTTCCAGAACATGCTCCCAGTGACCTACTTCCTCCAACTAGGCCCTACCTCCTAAAGTTTCCACCACTTCCCAGTAGTGCCACCAGCTGGGGACCAAGTCTTTAACATATGAACCTTTGGGGACATTCTAGATCCAAACTATAGTAATTATTAAATATCTGAAATTCTATATTTAGTTTTGTGTTCCCATCATTGCCATATGGAGTTTTTACTAATATGAGTGTAAGCTTTTTAAAAAGCATGTATATCTTATCACTAATATGAAATAATCCTTTTTTATTTTTTAAATATATTTTTTATTCTAATTTGTTATGACAACAGAATGTATTACAATTCATATTATACATATAGAGCACAATTTTTTTTTTTTTTTTTTTTTTTAAATAATTGCACAATAATGAATTATAATTCTTTTTTTTTTTTTTTTGAAAGAGGGGGGGGGAGAGAGAGAGAGAGAGAGAGAGAGAGAGAGAGAGAGAGAGTTTTTTAATATCTATTTTTTAATTCTCGGCGGACACAACATCTTTGTTTGTATGTGGTGCTGAGGATCGAACCCGGGCCGCACGCATGCCAGGCGAGCGCGCTACCGCTTGAGCCACATCCCCAGCCCCTAGAGCACAATTTTTTATACTTATTTTTTTTAGTTGTAGTTGGACACAATAACTTTATTTCATTTATTCATTTTTATGTGGTGGTGCTTAGGATCAAACCCAGGGTCTCACACGTGCGAGGCAAGCACTCTACTGCTGAGCCACAAACCCAGGCCTAGAGCACAATTTTTCATATTTCTGGTTGTATACAAAGTATATTCACACCATCGTGTCTTCATACATGTACTTAGGGTAATGATGTCCATCTCTGAAATAATCCTTTTTTAGAATAACATGTGAGAATTGTAATTAAATATAATGTTGTACATTATTTAAAATTTAATGATACTCATGATACAACCCCTTCAAAAACCATATGGTAGTTTCTTGTAATGTTAATCATATATCTGCAGCATTTCAATCTTATGAAAACATATAACTATAGAAAGACTCACATACAAATGTTTATAGCCATTTTATTCATAATAGTCCCAAACTGGAAACTGCCCAGATGTCTGTCCTCGGTACAATGGATAACAGTGGAATGCTATTCAGCATTTTTAAAAAGTGAGCTGATACTTTCAACATGGATGAATCTCATTGAAGTAATGGATGTTGAAAGAAGTACAAAAAAGTATATACTGCATGGCTCAATTTATCTGAAATTCAAAAGTAGACTAAATTAATATAGGATGATAGAAAAGTGATTGCCTATGGGGTATATGATTGAATTGAAAGGAGCATGAAAGAACTTTCTGGGATATGGATTGGGGGAATAGCTCAGTGGTAGAATGCTTGCCTAGCATGTGAGGGACCCCAGGTTCCATCCCCAATACCCAGGTGTGGGGGAGAATTTTCTGGGGTATGATAAATTTTTTTTATCTTGTCTGGGGTATTGATTATATATATATATATATATATATTTGTCCAAACGTGGCCAATTGTCAACTTTAGATACATGTGTTTGAGTCTAAACTTTACCTCAATTTGAGAAAAAAGAAAAATACAATGTCTTAACAAATTGTATTATTTTTTTCCCAAGAAAAAATGATTTGTTTTTTTCGTACTGGGGATTGAACCCAGGGGCTCTCAACCACTGAGCCATATCCCCAGCACTTTTTATTTTATTTTTAAATTTTTATTTATTTATTTTTGATGGTGCTGAGGATGGAACCCAGGGCCTTGGGCATGCTGGGCAAGCACTCTACCAACTGAGCTATATCCCCAGCCCCTTTATATTTTATTTTGAGACAGTGTCTCATTAAGATGTTTAGGGCTTAGCTAAGTTGCTGAAGTCACTGCGCAGCAAAAGACAGCGTCCCTGGATGGGCTCAAACCACCAACCTTTCAGTTAATAGCCAAACTTGCTAATGGATTGCATCACAGAGACTGTGGTTCTCCTATTTTTAAAAGCATTCCTTTGTTAAATATTTAGGAGCATTAGAATGACTGTCTATAGGCCTGATCCTAGTACAATTTGGAAAGAGGATACCTGGTTCTTGGAGGGATGCGAATTAAAATACTGGGTTTTTGAAAAAAAGAAATGTTCCACACAAAGCTTAAAGCTCAGGAAAGGGAAACATTTAATCTGGCTCCAGGAAGGCAGAGAGAAAAGGTGTTTGGAATTCCATTGCTATTTCCAGAACCTCGAAGTAGAATTCTTTTAGTTTGTGTCATTTCTACTTTGGGCTTCCTTAAATTGCTTGTTAAATTGTTTGTTACTCCCAGCCTTCTCTTCCTTCTCATTTTTTATTAGTCTTCTACCCTTCTGAGGTGCTGGGACCTTACCAACACTTTACTCGGATTGAGTATGAATATATGGATCAATAATTCATCTACATGAAATAGTTATTAGAAGTTTAAAAATTTCCCCTAAATTTCAACAAAACATTTTGGGGAAAAAGTGTGGCAAATAATATTACTATATGCCAGGCGTGTTTGGCGCACACCTGTAATCCCAGCAACTCAGGTGGGGGCTGAGGCAGGAGGATCATGAGTTCAAAGCCAGCCTCAGCAATTTAGCAAGGCATTAAGCAACTCAGTGAGACCCTGTCTCTAATAAAATATAAAATAAGGCTGGGGATGTGGCTCAGTGGTCGAGTGTCCCTGAGTTCAATCTCTGGTACCCCCCAAAAAATATATTACTAATGAGTTCCTTTTGATTCCAAAATATATAATTTATAAGAATAATGTATTTTCATCTACTTAGAAGTAACTAATGAAACATGAAGATAGTTTATCAAAATTCATCAAACCCACAGAATATAAAGAATTGGGGAACTAATACATCTTATTTTTGGACTTGAAAAAATGGTCTCCTTTAAAATGATTGATTGCTGTGCAAAGAATAATAAAAATGTAAAGGAAAGCTTTTCTTTAAATCATTTTTTTAGACTATGGGATATAGATATATTTTGTTTATGCACCAGCCACATTCATAAGTTAACATTTTTGTAGAAATTAGTTACAATTATATTGCTTTCTTATGGTTTAACCAAACACATCCTTTTTTTTTAAAGATGGGTGGAACAAGATCCTAAGGAAATTCTGCAGTCTGTCTATGAATGCATAGAGAAAACATGTGAGAAACTTGGACAGCTCAATATTGATATTTCCAACATAAAAGGTATTTTAATGGAATATTATATTTTTGTGGTATGACTCTCAGTTGGATTCATTAATTCATTTTTCAGCTCACAATGAGTACTTACGCAGGGCCAGCCATTTCTTTGGAAACTTGAGGTTACAACTGTTATGAATAGGAAGATTTAAGTTCCTGTTCTGGAGCTTTTATTTTGGTGTGTGTGTGTGGGGGGGTAAGACAACTAAAGCAGACAAATAGAAGCTAATTTCAGATACCAGTAAACTCCATGCAGAAAATAAAACTTAAGTGATGTGGTGGGGTATACCTAGAGGGGCTTACTTGAGGTTGGGTATAAAGGAGACTACACTTTCTGACATTTCCAAGGCTATAAGGGGTCAGCCAGTCATGTGACTATTTGGGAGGAAAGAGTGTTTAAGGCAAAGAAAGTGGCATATGCAAAGACCCTGAGGTGAGAGTGAGCTTAGGACATTCCAGGGTCAGAAAGAAGGCCAGCATGTCAAGAGGACAGTAACAGAAGGTTCAGGTGTGAGAGTGGCTGAGTAGGTGTTTCAGTAGGAATTAAACTCAGGAAAGTGGGTAGGGCCTTGTCAGTTGTAGTTAGTAATTTGTTATTCTTAGCATCATAAGGAGCCATTAGGAGATTCTAAGCAAGGTGGCTAGGGATGGCTTGCACTTGAAAGACAATTCCCCAACTGCTCTGTGGAAAGTAGACCATATATGGGTTTAAGTGCAGATACAGAGAGACCAATATAGAGGCTGAAAGAGGATGGTGGCTTGACCCAACAGTGGCAACACAGAGGTGGGGAAGAAGAGCCAGAACTTGCTGATAGATTGGATATTAGGTATTAGAGAGAGTAAGGGAAAAAAAGATAAGAAAGATAAGAGATGAGTCAAAGGTGATGCTTGTTTATTTTTTCTATTTTGTAGTCCTGAGTATTAAATCCAGGACCACATGCATGCTAGACAAGCGGTGTACCACTGAGTCACACCCCCACCTTAATGCTTGGGTTTTTTTTTTTTTTTCCTGGAGGTCCTGAGTAGATGGGACCTGGATAGATAGACCTCTTATTAAAGGGAGAAAAACTTAAAGGAGCAGGTTGGGGGAAGGGTGTTTGAAATCTAAATGCTTTTCTTATAAAATTTCCTTGCAATAATTACTTGAGGGCTGAGGCCGTAACTCAGAGGCAGAGCGCTCACCTGGCATGCCAGGTGTGAGTCATTGGGTTCGATTCTCAGCACCACATAAAATAAAATAAATTATTGTGTCCACCTATAATTAAAAAATAAATATTTAAAAATAATTACTTGAAAATGTGAGATTATCCAGGCACAGTGGCACACTCCTGTAATCCCAGCAGCTCAGGAGGCTGAGACAGAAATAATGTGAATTCAAAGCCAACCTTAGCAACAGTGAGGCACTAAGCAACTCAGTGAGACCCTGTAAGATAGGGCTGGGAATATGCTCAGTGGTTGGATACCCCCCCCCCCCAGTTCAATCTCCGGTACCCCCCCCAAAAAAGTTTGAGATTATAACAGTTCTGTCTGAATTCCTAGTATTTTAGTAGAATATCTACATTTGATTTTCATACACACAGAGAGAAAATAATGCAGTCATCCAAGATTGATATAACAGCATAAAGGGTAGAAGCATGATGTGGTAATTGCTTTTTTATAGCTATGTTTTTCAAGTTGACCATTCAAGGATAGTTCTGATCTTCTTAGTTTGGCCATAGTAGTGGTGCCTTGATTCACATCATCTTGGCTCTAAGAATTGCCTTCACTCCTGAGACTTTCCCATATTTGTATAAATAGAAACTCATTTAAAAATAAAGACTATGCATAATCACATCATTTAGCAAGTCTGTAGAAAGCCTATCTTATACAGTATACACCTAGGTATACAGTGGGGGCACAAATAGAGTCATGTAGTTAACAGTCAAATGGGGGAAACATGTTAATCTTATAATCACAATGAATGAACAATCAGAACAATAGTAGCTTCTGTTATTACAGAGTTTTAATAGAAACACGTAGGTACAATTTGAAATTTTATTAACAGGTTTTTGTTGTTGTTGTTGTTTGTTTGTTTAGTACTAGGGATTGAACCCAGGGGCGCTTAACCACTGAGCTACATCCCCAGCCCTTTTTTTGTATTTTATTTAGAGACAGGGTCTCACTGAGTTGTTTAGGGCCTCACTAAATTGATGAGGATGGCTTTGAACTCATGACACTACTGCCTCAACCTCCCAAGATGCTGGGAATACAGGTGTACACCACTGTGCTTGGCTATTAGCAGTTTTTAATATCATGTATCTTTTGTGGTATGGGGAATTTAACTCAGAAGTCCTCTACCACTACATCCCCAGCCCTTTATTTTTTATCGTGAGACAGGGTCTCACTAAATTGCTGAGGCTGGCCTCAAACTTGTGACCTCCTCCCTCAGCCTCCCAAGTCACTGGGATTATGGGTGTGTGCCTCATATGGGGATCATTCATGTTTTAATCGTACACTTGTCTTATCCCTACATCTAATTTGGGGTACTTCAAACTTAAGAGTTGCAATCACCAAATTTTAGATGAGTTGTACATCAAAGTGATTGCTCTTGATCATTTCTTAAAGCTATGTTTACATCTCTCGCGTTCTAAGCAGTGCAGATAAATAATAGGCATTCAGAAACACTGTCAAAATAGTCATTCCCAAGACATAGGTAATCTACGTGGCTTAAAGTCATGTTCAGAATGTGGAGTACAGGGGGACTGACTATGCATTGACATTGTTCTACCTTCCTTACAGGTAAGTTGGGCTGTAATATGTTATTCCTTCTGCACCCACTCGGGTGCCACTCATTTTTCCACTTTTTTTGTGTGTGTGTGGTTTATATGAAGATGTACACAACTGCCCAAGGGACTTGTCTTCCACTTGCACTAACTGTTCTATAATTGAACATGAAGCCCTCTTCTTTACACTCCTCTTTCTTTGGCCAACGTGAAACCCCTACCTGAGCCAAGGTGACCCAGCATTTTTTATTCTCCATAATTACCAGCCTATGGCCAAGGATGAAAAGTGTCTCACAAGCCCCTCTATACCAGGCCAGTTGTACTAATCTTTTCTTCTGATAATTTATTGAATTGGCATTGCCAATGGGCAAGCTTTCACTTTCCTGTGTAGAGATCTAAATCTCAAATTGTTAAAGCTCTAAAGATCTTCACTAATATAGACCAATTTCCTCGAGCTGCAATGAGGGAAGGGGACTTACTAGAGATCATGCTGCTGTTTAGTGTTCAATAGCATTAAAGTACAGCTCCTGTAATTCCTAGACCAGTGCTTTTTTCCCCTGAGCTATGCTGATGATAATCTCAAAAACCATTTATTTATATATTTGCTGTGTGGCAGGTAAATTGGCTTTACCAGCTGATGAGTGATGCCATTTATAGTCTTACCTAGTAATTATTAACAGAGCTCATCATACATATCTGGTTGTATTTCCTTCACAAATTCCTGCTTCATTGGTTTTAGTTGTCTTCATCTTTCAAAAAGTGTTGATTTCAGATTACTATGAACAATGTCCTCAGAATTAAAATTCATTCTCAAATTTAACTGCACATTCTAGCCCAAAGCAAGAAAATATTCTGCTTCTTTCCTACTCAACTTTCAGTCAAGCACCTGTGTCATGGGACTTAAAGAATCAGCAAGTATAAAGAATTACAATAGCAAATATTCCTCATTCATTCTCTTTCATGCAAAAAAGCAAAATAAACATAAACTGTGTTAGTAATAAAGGCACAGAATTCTAAAGAATTAAATTCTCTTGTACCTAAAGCAGTTACTTTGTTCTGAGAAAAGGAAAACTCACAAATCCATTCCTTCACTGCCTTACCCTACCCAACATTTACACATTTCTGTCACTCCCGGCCTTCTCTTCCTTTGCATTTATTATTAGTATTTTTTATTTGTTGATAGACCTTTTATTTTATTTATTTATATGTGGTGTTGAGAATTGAACCCTGTCCCTCACAGGTTAGGCAAGTGTGCTACTGCTGAGCCCCAGCCCAAGTACATATCTTCTATATAAAACTGTATAAAGTTTTTGGGGTTTATTTTTTTAACCTGTTAATTTTCGCCTGCCTCTATGTGGTGCAGATGAACTATGGTGGAGAATTACAAAACTTGCATATATTATTCTGAGAAAGGGGATTAAAATTAGGAGCTATTAAAAATGGCATATACATTGGGATTAATAGTCATAAAAGTTTTTTTAAAAGACATAGATTTTAGGGTAAAATAGGAAGAGGTTTGGAAAAACTCAGTCATTGCAAAAGACCTGTGTGCCTTGGGGAGAAATGGGTAATAAGGATGTGCTGGCTGAAAAGAATACTGAGAAGCTATTTTGCTGGACTTTGATTGTCTGCAAGGAAAGCAATTTTACTTGGCATGAAAGAATAGAATTAAGATAGAGGAGATTGAGTAGTCGGGGAGGATCACATGACCAAAGAATCAGATGGAAATAGCTGTAAATTAGAATCTGTGTACAAGTCAGGAGGAGCCAATAAAGAAGGTAGCACTATTTGATGCCTGTCCTAATGGTGACTCAAGGATTGTAGCTAAGGGAGCAGCCAGCTGGTTTACAGGAAAATTAATGTAGTAAGGAGAAAATAGGAGACTTTAGTTTACCATTATAATTTATTATGATTTTGCATTGAAAAGTTGTCACTAAATTAACAAGTTTACAAAACTCCACTGTAGCAACCTACTGCCAAAGTCCCACTGTTGTACCCACAGAGCTTCTGGGAAATTCCTCTATGTGTCTGCTTAATTCTGTCCCATTTTCTGCAACTGTTATGTCACTCTCTCCTCAGTAATGATGATAATGGCAACTGCAGTAGGTAATATTTAGTACTTACTATGTGCCAGGGATCTGTTTTAACATGTATCGACTCACCAATATAACCCAGTAAGGTGGGAACTTTTTTGCCCCTTCATTTTATAGGAGACAAAACTATGACAGAAAACAAAATAGGAAACTCAGAATTGTAATTTGAACCTCAACTGTCTGGCTTCAGAGCCTAAATTCTACTGAAGATCCCCAAACCCCTGCCAATTTTTTTTTCTTTGTATAACTGGAAATTGAATCTATAGTCTTGCACATGCTAGGCACTGAGCTACACCCCTAGCCATTTTTATTTAGTTAATTTTGAGACATTTGAGACATGGTCTCCGTCAGTTCTCCAGGCTTGCCTCAAACTTTAGATTCTCCTGCCTCAGCCTCAGCCTTGAAAGTAGCTGAGATTACAGGTATATCACCTATCCTGACTGCCTCAAACTTTTTTTTTTTTTGTACCAGGAATTGAACCCAGTTATGCTCAACCTCTGAGCCATTTTATATTTTTTATTTAGAGATGGGATCTTGCTGAGTTGCTTAGGGCCTTGATAAATTGCTGAGGCTGGCATTAAACTCACACTCCTAACTTGTTGCTTCTGAGCCACTGGGATTACAGGTGTGTGTCACCATGCTCAGCCCTGCTCCAAACTCTTGATACTGTTTTTGCTTGGCCTCTTTTTAGTATATAACCTTGCCTCCTACTTCACAGAGAAAGGTGAGGCTCTAGGACCTTAATTCCTTCATTTCTTATTTCTGTACTTAATGTGTGGATTTCATGCCCCCCTGTGCCCCCTTTCCTTAATCATAAGGGAAATAGATTCTGTCCCACTTGGGGCTCCTCCCTCCACCTGTGCTATTCATGCCACCTCCTGTCTCTGCACATCACAACCATGTCCCTTTGAATTTCAGCCTCAGTCCTCATTGTCTCTTCTTTCTTCCTATTTTTATAACCAACTAACCCAGGATCTCTTGCCTTTAACTTATGCCTCTAAGTATCTTTGGAAGAGAAGTTCAATCATCTTTGTACCTTGTACCTCTACAAAAGGTGTCAAATGAAGCAAGTAAATCCACATTGGATAAATGGTATTAGAACAAGAGAACTGATGGTCATCCTCAGCTCTGAGCTACTCCAAACACTGCTAGAATATTGTATTTTATTCTGCGTCTACAGTTTGAATGATATGGACAGATAGTTGTATATTCCCAGGAGCTATAGTAAAGGAACTTGTTATGTGGAAACAGAGGCAGCTGAGGAAATTGGATTGTTTAGCCTGGACAGTGGAAGAGAAGACTTAAGGTACAAAGTAGCTACTTGAAGTTTTTGAAAAATTGGCATATGGAAGGAAGATTAACTTTATATTTTAAATACTCCAATGAATATGGCTAAGATCTGTAGGTGGAAGCCACAAGGCAAAGGGTTTTTAAATTTGATTTCTGTGGTGCTAGGGATCAAATCCAGGGCCTCATGAAATCCTAAGCAAATGCTCTACCACTAAGCCTCAGGATTTTTTTTTTTTTTTTTTAAATACCAAAGTTGTCTAGTAGAGATTGGTCTGCCTTGAGAGCTGTAGTATCTTGTTACCAGAAGTACAGTCTGTGTGGTCACATGACAGATGATTTTAGAGGAGATTTGTGCATAAAAGTGTAACTGATTATATAACCTTTAAGGTCTGTCCTCCTCTTAAATTCAGGAAGTGCTCCATTCTTTGGCTCAGAGTGTTCTACCTGGGATGCATGTTAGAATGACCTAGGGAGTTATAGGAACTAATACCAATGTTCAGATCCCACCCCAGATCAGTTAAATTGGAATGTTTTGACCAGGGCTTAGACGTTGATTTTTGTTTTTAAGAAGCTCCCCAGTTGATTTTAAAGTACAGCCAAGTCTGACAATCTCTGATTTACCAGAACCAAATGGATCTGAATAAGATGGTAGAGATTTATACTTTACTTATTAAGTTATTGTAAGTATATAGCACCTGAGTTATGTGTAGTTAGTATAATGTAAATGCCATTACATATTATGTTTGCGCCTAATTCAAACTCTTAGGTTTTGTGACACATTATTAAAATATGGAAGTAAAACTTCATTTCAAACCAATGATAATATGAGGTTGCTCAGCATGCAGGATTTTGTCTGGGCTATTTCTTAAAATTCAGGTCTGCACCCACGCATTTTCATACATATACACAACCACACACATATGGGAAGGGAAATTTTTTATACCAATTGGTAAATAAATGAATGAGGTAAATGTTGGTCTGCTCAGAATAATAAATTAGGTATTATAAACTTGGAAAGTTATTGCATTCCTTAAAGCAATCTGGGAGCCTTTCCTTTGGGTACTTAACTGACTCTATATCTATGTGCTAGTGTTGGAGCTACAAGGCATATGTAGAAATAAAAAGAAAAACTTGACATTATGTGTTTGTTTTTCTTAGGGCCACTCAATGAAAACAAATTTAATACCACTACAAATCTTCCAAAATTTTGGGGGGAATTGTTTGTTTAGTCGTGCCTATAAAAAAACTTGAGATCTGTTCTCCTAAAGCAGTTTTCTATTTGTTTAATTTTCTACTCTCTTTAACTTTTGCTTTAAAGCTATTGGCGTCAGCAACCAGAGGGAAACCACTGTAGTCTGGGACAAGTTAACAGGAGAGCCTCTCTACAATGCTGTGGGTAAGCCATTATGCTTGGAGGTCAAGTACAGGGCCTCTTCCACTTACAAATGTGGTCACACTAAAATATCTTGCTAAAAAAGTATGTAGTCATGTTTTATATAATCTGGGATGAGTAGAAGAATTCTGAATATTTATTTATAATATTATTTATTTATAATATTTATAATATTCAGATCATACTTATTCACACATTGAATTAACTTTCTCTCATATTCTTTCCTATTGTTGATTATTTGTATTACAAAAATGGGTGACTATTACCAGAACTGTTTTATAATTCCTGTTTTTATTATATCTAAATGAGATTCCACATCTTCCTACCCTCAAATCAAAATTACAAATGTTCATAGTCACCTATCTATAAAGTGCTTGTGTACTTCTTCTTTCCTTTAAGAATCTGAATTACTTTTCTGAGGTTATAAAAAATGAAATATCATAATTTTAGCTGCTTATGCTACAAATTTTGCCATTTTGGCATGGGTTAAACAACTCAAATCTCAAATATATTAATTTTAGATATCACATCTTAGATATACATGACCAGGGTTATTTTTCTAGCATGTAATAATTAGTGAACACTGAATGATACTGCCACTTCCTAAAAGGAAAATTGTGTTCTAAGTCTATAATCATTAAAACACTTCTGTCAGAAATAGCAAAGCACAATTTTTTTTAATCAGTAAAATAACAGGTTGTAGGATAGGGAATGAAGTAAAAATTGTCAGAAATGGGATTGATTTATAGAGTAGGCCTTTATTTTCCTTTTGAGAATGGCTCTGGCTATGTTGCCCAGGCTGGTCTGGATATCTTAGGCTCTTGAGTGCTGGCACTACAGGTCTGCACCCCCACCCAACTAGAGTGAGCTATTTTTACTTTATAGTTATTTTAGTAATATAGTTACATTAGTTTTAATTGGGATAAAGAAATATTAAAGCAAAAGGTATGTGAAAAGGGTATATTGTAAGAGTACTGTAAATTCTTTTATAAAGAAATTAAGATATTGGGCTGGGGTTGTGGCTCAGTGATAGAGTGCTTGCCTAGCATGTGTGAGGCACTGGGTTCGATTCTCAGCATCACATATAAATAAATGAATAAAATAAAGATCCATCAATAACTAATAAAAATATTTAAAAGAAATTAAGATTAAATGTTAATGTTTATAAGAAAACATTTAGTGTATGTTCTATATTTGTGATAAAAAATACTTAAAAAAATTTCAAAGAATTGTAACCAAAGATTCTATCACATAAAAGTCCATTTTTTAAAACCTTTTTTTCTCAGTGTCATGAGCAGTTTTTTTTTTTTTTTTTTTAGGTTGAATCTTCTTTATTCTAGCAGTTGGTTATTTTCATTCTTGAATATATGAAGTAATTGTAGGAGGAGCAGCCATTTAGCTCATGAAGACATGAGTTTTGAATTATAATTACCTATCAAAATTTTGAACATACTTTATTTTTTTATCAATTTTTCACGCATAATTGTAATGATAGTTTAATCCAAATGAAAGACTTTAACACTTAGGGTAAAAACTGTTTTTTTTTTATATGAGCTGGGTTTTTTTAATAAATAAAGCAAAACTATTATAATTTTAATAACTGGTATGTAGGGGAATATTTTTCGTATATTAATATTAGCTAACTTCTGGAACTAGTTAGGGTTTGTTGTGACTTAGGATCTTTAAAATGGGGAGTACCCCTTAAATGATTAGGAGAGTCATAAGATAGAAATAATGATATTTTTATTTCTGGCCCCTGGGGATACACATGCCTGGAGTCCATACTCATAGAGATCAGATAACTTAGGCAGGGAGAGATAGGGAGGGACCTATGGGCCAACACCATAATTGTATCCAAAACTTTTTCAAAGAGATTGCCTGTGGGGAATTCTGTTTTATGGGTTTAATACAAGGACAAGTTTAAAGAAGTCATTCTTACTGAAAGGTGGTCACTGGCATATTTGTACAGACCATGTGGGGCATGAGGGTCAGTGGGGCCAGTCAAGTTGGCCATATGTACTGTCCCTTAGGGAGGTGGACACCAGGAAAAAGTGATATAAGGCAAATATCTGGATCACCTATGTCCAGGAACCAAGATAAGGTGTTGAACTAGAAATTGTGTCAAAGGTGACTAAGCCCTGTATGAGAAGTTAAACATATTTAAAATGGATGCTGAGAGAACATAAATGATAAAAGAATTCACAGTAGAATTTTACTTTTTTCCCCTAGTGAAAGGAAGGGCCTATTCAGGGAACCAGAAAGTGCCTATTAAATTCTAAATTTTGAATTGTAAAAATGGAACTTTGGAATTTTGATACCAGAGGTGGGAACTCCTGACCCAGTGACAATAGAAATGAAACTGGGTCAAAGATTATGAACACACAGTCAAGGCTTTAATTGGGAAGATAAAAGCAGTGGTAGTTTCTCCTTGAAGAGAAAGGGGAACAGCAACTGATTAAGAGAAAATTCAGGATGAATAAAGAAAGGAGCTAGCATTACATTGCGAAGCTGAGGTAGGACTGTAGTATTTTTCCTCTAGTCATAAGTATGGTCAATTTTTTTGGAGTTTCTTGTGGAAGATCCTTGGAGACATCTTGGTATCATCTTGTTTCTGTGGTAGAATTTGATTAAAAGGGTAAGGAAGGGCATAGTTCAAAATTGTTGAAGTTGGGGACAGTAGGGAAAGATTTTAGGAGGTAATAGGTTATGGATAAAGGTTCAAGAGTGTATTCCCCTCTTGTTCCTACCTATCTCAATTTGAATTATCATATTTAAATAATGCAACTAGGTTAATTGAAGTCAGGTTTACAGTGAAAATTTTAAGTAAATACTTTTTCACAAAAGTTTTCTATGATGTGCTTTTTATTTCCTTTTCTTTTACCTCTGTACCTCTCCTCTATTGTGTGTTCTTTGGAGTATTCAAATGTACCTATCACAAATGAAGAACTTTCCTTTTCTATACTGAGGTACATCTATGTTTTGAGAACCTCTAATATGTTTGATATTATTATATTATAAAGGATATAAACTTTATTGGTTGTTTTGGCAAGTACTTTATAGTCTAGTTTTGGAAAGGGAACAACAGAAAATTAGGGAGTAGTTGATAATTGTGTCCTGTTAAGTGGATGGGAATTAGAACAAGTCCATATCAGTATGGATTTTTTTCCCATGCCTGTTATAGTAGAAGTTCATCTTAATTTGGACTTTACAGCATGTATTGGATGGCATTAGGAAAAGGGAAAATTGAGGAACAGCATGACCAAGCTTTGAAGTTAAAAATATGTATATATATATATTTTACCAGAATGAAAATTGATCAGATTCAAGCATAGGTTGACTTACATATTATTTTTAATAGAACTAATAGTGATGATAATGCTCAGTAAGTCCTAACTGCTATTATAGTAGGATTGTACTGACCCTGTGAAGTAGATTTACTAGACTTATTTTATGAATTAATTACAGAAACCTCTATAACTTATTTAATATCATGTAGCTTTTAGTTGAAGTTAAGCCCAAAATGTGTGTTCAAGTTTGGATAGATTTGGATCTGTAAGAGCACACTGACAACCATGCACAGAATAGTAGACTTAATACCTTGGACAGCTTGGGACAAAAAGGGTCATGAAGGAGAGTTTAACATGCCATGGGTGGAATGTGTTATTTCAAACACATCATTCTACTGAGAAACAGCTAGAAAAATGAAATGAAATTCAGAGGGACTAGAAAGAAGGTTACTAGAGAAGTGATAAATTATGGGACCAAGATAGAATAGAGAAAGGGAGCCCTGAGAGTTAAGCCTGATATTTGGGGTTGCTTATCCCCTAATGATATCCATGGGTTCTGAAAGGAGGATCTGAGAGGCTAAGCAGCACTTTTTATAGATTCATAAAGATAGGAGTGAAAAAAATGGAGTCAGGTGCTGCCAAGAATGGGGATGAGTATTGGTAAAATACCAGACTTAGGATTGGGACTGTGAAGAGTCAAATCCCAAAGATTAAAATAATATGAAACTCTGATTGAATTGATATTATTTGAGATTGCTAATGCTACTAGCCTTTCAGAAACAGAAGTAAACCACTTCTTGGTAAAAGACAACATTACATGGATTATCTCTAAAAATTTCCATATGTAATGTCTACTTTTCAAAAATAGTCACACATATAAAACAAAACAAGACAGGAATGAAAACCAACATGAAAGAGTGATATTAAAGCTAAACTCATAGGAAATTCCAATATTAATCATCAGATTTTTTTTCTGGTACTAGGAATTATATCAGGAGCACTTTGCTGCTGAGCTACATCCCACTTTTTTTTAAGAGAGAGAGAGAATTTTAATATTTATTTTTCAGTTTTTGGCAGACACAACATCTTTGTTTGTATGTGGTGCTGAGGATCAAACCCAGGACGCACGCATGCCAGGCGAGCGCACTACCGCTTAAGCCACATCCCCAGCCCCCATCCCCACTTCTTTTTATATTTAATTTTGAGGCAGGGTGTTGCTAAGTTGCTGATGCTGGCCTCGAAATTGCAGTCCTCCTGCTTCAGCCTCCCAAGTCACGGGGATTACAGGCATGTGCCACTGCATCATCAGATTTAAAATAATAATAATAATTAACATGTGCAAGGAATTAATTGATAAGATTGATATTCTTGACAAAGAATTGGAAATAACAAATGGAAATTTCAGAGCTGTATTAAGAGCTCACTTGATACATTTTACATCAGAATAGACACAGCTGAAACAAACCAATGAACTGAAAGAGAGATAAGAAGTAAATATCCAGACTGAAACACAAAGGAAAGTTTAGAAAATACAGAAAAAAAATTCAAGTGAAATATGGGCTAAGGTGAGAAAATCTAACATTGTAATTGGAGCTCCAGAAAGAAGGGAGAGAGGAAAATGAGGAAGAAATAATATTTGAAAGAAAATTAGAAAAAGTTTTCCAAAATTGGTTAAAGATATCAAACTGCAGATTCAAGAAGCATTATGGTGCCCAG